CGCTGCCGCTGTGATGCGGGTGGGGTCTTCTCTCGCCCCCCTCTCCAGAGCCCCCCAGTCTCCCGGTCGTCTCTTTACTGTAGACTTGTGAGTCGGCGTTGGGTGTGTTGCCCGGTGGAACGAGTTGTAGGCATCCAGGGCTGCCCTGTTGGATATACCTGATGGCAATCTCTCCGTTGTAGCTTTTAGGGATAGAGGAAAAGTACTCTAGCCCTCCCCATCTCCCCCCCAGCTCCGAACGCTGAGGCTTCGGGACAAAACGATTTTTCCCCAGCCCCTCAGTATCCATTGTTTTGTACCATCCCCCTCCCCCGCCCCCTGCCTAGGTAGAAGAATAATGACTCCAAACCATTAATTGCCTTAAAAAAAATCTGCACAGGGTTTGTGTTCTTGTTAGTATGGATTTACAAACAGGTGAAATGAATATCAGGAGTTGGACATATTTATCGTTTATTTTATTTTATTTATTTATTTTTGGTCTATTGCTTTGTATCATAATGGGGATGATGAGAATAAAAGAGGAAGCACTGTTTTGCAACCTACCCAAAAAAATGTTTTCTAAGTCTCTGGGGATGCTGAAGCAAAATTGGGTTGCAGATGTGGACTGTAGTTTCTGCTTCCAGCCGAACTGCCGTCCGTCTGTATCTAAGCCTACACCTGTGCAATTTTGTTACGCTAATTCATAAATGTTGGCAGGTTCTAGTATCTACTCATAGGAGTTACTGTTTATTAAACTTATTTTTTTACATTTTTCAGAATTCCAGGTACATTTGTGTAACCGGATACTTTTGTGTCTTCTTGTATCTAATTGTAGCATCAATACTGAAGAATTGTTTTAATTTAAAAACCTATTAGGGTGTTAATTTCTTCCAGAGCCCTAATAGATGTTTGTTATTATGTATTTGAAGAGACTTAGATGTTGGGTACAATCTGTAACATTTTTGTTTCAAGTGTTGATGTTTTTCTATGTGACAGTGACATGAAATTTTAGGACTAATGTATGTAAGTGACCATTTCTTACATATGGAACTTAGATTGAATGGGACGTCGTGTTTAAACATAAGGTGCACTAAAAGTTTTCTTATAAATACACGTTTGCAACATAGACTGCAGACAAAGGCTTTGTCTAATAGGTTTGTAGGTTTCTAATGACTTAATTGTAACATAAAGCTAAGATAAAACTATATCCTTGAAATGCCAGTCTTAAAATAGGGACCTGACCTATCTTTTGAGGATACTACTACTTCCCAAGTTTTTTGTTGAGATTTTGAAAAAACAAATACATTTATCTTAGGTTGGTATTTGTTTTCAGGTTGCTCATCGTTAAATGCATTTTCTAAATTGTTACAATTCTTATGGATTTAAGAGTGATATTATAAATTAGTGGCTGGATTTTTTTTTCTTAGGTTTTTTAGCCATCATATTCACAAAATGGATAAAAGCTGTTTTTTGATAAGTAAGGGTCATATAACTACTTGTGAACCACAAACCAGAAATTTAAAACACTGCATTTTTCAAAGGAGTCATCAAAATTATAAATCTTTTGTTGTTTTTGCTGAAATTAGCCTTTTAAAGTATTACTATTTTTTTCAGTGACTGGGACAGGATTTGCCTTACATTCCAAGAGCCATAAACTGGAATTATATGTGGAATACTCCCTAACGTGGTATATATTTTGCCTTGATTTAACAGTGTGGGTTGTGGGGAAAAGGTGAATAAAATTGGGATCTTTGTTATCCAGGCAGGTAAATTGCAGTTACATTTATTTTAAAAATATGCTGGATTGTTAGTATCTGTTGTGTAATTTTTTTTAAATTGTTTTAAAATTATTTAATTTTTAGATTTTTTCTAGTCAGAAGGTAAATATGAAAATAATCAGTTTTTGAGTGAAATATATGTGTGTGTATATAGTATATGTATATAATTTGCTATCCTTGTATCTCCTGTTTTAATTGCTTGATTTGTCTTCTGAGTTTTTGTCTGTTCGATATATGTAATCAAAGTTATACCTTATAAATCTTTCTGGAAATATTTTTTCTCTTCTGTTAGTGTAGTAATTAAAGTTCTATGTTTTCTTACCCTGTTTAAACTTACTTTTAAAATCTCAAAAAATTCAAAATTCTAGGTAATTGATGATGTGCTTGAACTTTTGATATATTTTAGAGTATTCTGAAGTGTAATTATCAGTCACTGCAGGTTGAAAGGAATATGCATAAGCCTGAGAAATTTGTTATGATAAATTAATGTTTATTCTGTTTTTGTTTGCTACTTTCCCTTGGTTTCCAACTTTTTAACACAACATCTCTAATTCAGCAAATTAAAGTACTAATATATGAAAAGAATATACTAATTGCAAAGGCAGCGTTTGAAATGTTAGTAATACATGCTTGTTGAGAGAGTATGAAGTTCTCATTATCAAGATTGAAAAGAACTAATTAGATTTTATACCATGTATCTCATTCCAACTTCTCTAAAGATCAGAACTTCCTGCAAAAAGTAGTATATGTGCTAAAAGGTAAGGGTTCTTGTACCAAAAAGAAAGAATACATTGCTTGAAGTTATTACATATTACAGGAGACCTTAAGAGCATGTATAATTGGTCCCTGTGAAATGAGGCTGAAAGACTTTCATGAAGTATTTTGGCATGTCTGTCTTCTGATTATTTATAGCTTGTAAACATTCACAATTTAAGCACTTTATTTGTACTCAGATCCTAATTAGAAACCCTATAGTTTTAATTAAGTAATTTCACTGTTGACAATGGTAAGTCTTCTTTGGTTTAGTTTTTCTGATGTCTTTTGAGGAAAACTGGAAATGACTTGTTTGAGTATTGATGACTTAGAATTTGGAGTAAATTCCATCAGTTAAATTTGGAATTGCTCAGTTTCTAGTTTTGCGCAGCACTCCCTCCTACTTTGAAGACTTTCACAAATCGTCTTTAGGTTAACTTTAAAATTTTGTTTTATAAATGTTTCTTACTAACTACAGTTTCATATTCACTAATGTTATAGACCTTCTGCCAAGTGCCACATGTGTTCCAGAATCTGAGCAGAGATAAATATATTAGGTTCCCTTCTTTTAGTAAGTTGACAGTTTGTTGATTTGATAGTACAAATCAATAGTTAATTGCTCTACAAGGTGACAAGTGACTTTGATAGCTATGTGCATTGAAGAACTCAAACTACTTTGTATCTAGAAATGATTACTGGATGATAAGACCTGAGCTAACTTTCTAGGAATAAGTAGGATAGGAGAGAGGGTAGAAGAAGCAGAAAGGTTAGAGGCATTTAGTTCCATTGGAGAAATACAAGTGGTTTGTATTTGGATTCTCTGTATGACCTAAAATACTAAGTTTTTATTAATGCTTGTACTTTTAGATTTTTATTTTTGTGTGCCTACTTTGATAAACTATTCCAAATTATTTAAAACTTTAAAACAAGTCTACTTTTGTTAATATTTTAATTAACTATGAGAA